AATTAACACGTGTATGAACGTATGTCTCCGCACGTGAATTTATTTTGAAAAACAAAACAAATTTTATCGTATTATTCTAATGCCACGTTTTTTTTCAAAATTAAAATAATTTAAGTTTAATATAAAATAAAAAAAACTTTTTTAGATAGAAAGAGGAAAAAAAATCAACAATAAAATGACGTCACCGTCGTCACCGTCGTCACCGTTGTCGTCGTCGTTGTCGTGGAAGAAGAAAAGACTAAAAAAAAAAATTTTGTTTTTTTTTTTTATTTATGTATAGAATATATATTTATATTTATATATATCTATACATCTATCTACGTAGTGGAAAACGTGAGTTTAAAATCACGTTTTTGATTCGAGTAAATGTTATTTTCCTGTTGTTGGCACGTACGCTTGAAAAAGTTCATCAATACGAAAAGGCAAAGAAAGACAAAAAATTTTTTTTCTCTTTTTTTTTTCTCTTTGTCTCTCTCTCTCTCTTTCTTTCTTTTTCTTTTAAAAAAAAACGTGAGGAGTTAATGAGAGAGAGAGGGAGAGAGAATGAGAGAAAAGAAAAAGAAAAAGAAACGGTTTGATATATGTGCATGAGTGTGCGTGAATGTTCATGCGTGCGTGAGAAGTGTGTATGAGAGAGAGAGAGAGAGAGAGAGAAATAAATAAAAATGAAAAATAAAATTTAAAATGGAAAAAAGAAGTAGAAGCAGAAGAAGAAGATGATGAAGAAAATTTAAGATTTAAAACTAAATAATGAACAATTTTAATAGAGAAATTTTAAAATGAAAATTTATATTGCTTCGGGGGGGTAAAAGGTTTTTCCGATTGAAAAATTCTTACATCTTTTTTTTTGAATTTCAAAAAAAAAAAAAAACAAAAATCGGAGGGAAAATATAACTGAAAAAAAAACGAATGGAAAAAGAATTTAAAAAATTTTATGAAAAATAATAATAATAATAATAATAATAATTTAACGGAGTACAAAATGAGAAGTTTTTTTTTTTTTTTTTAAAAAAAAGGAGCATTCATCTGCTTAAAGTCGTTTCATAAAAAAAAAAAAAAAGTCGAGAAGAAGAAGAAGAAGAAGAAAAAAAATGGCGATTGTTCACGCTCATTAAATGATTTTTCTGCCAAACTTTTCCGCCGTTTTTCTTTTTTTATCTCATTATAATTTTTCTTTTTTTTATTTATTTACTCAAAAATAAATACTCCCTCCTCTTTCTCCACTCGCCCTCTACTACCCCCGCTTTTACCGGTTACTTTAAATTTAAATTTTTTCTTTCTTACCTTCCCCCAACACACATCAGTTTATTTTTTCCTCCACTCGAAAAATAACACTTTGCCCCCCCCCCTCCCAAAAAAAATTATAAAATTTCAATAACAAAAAATTAATTACGTATTATATTTTTTTATAGCGCTCTATCTACAATTTTATAGTCACGTAAAGTTACAAAAAAAAAAAAAGAAAAAAAATTTCGCAAACCTTCGGTTTTTATTTATTTATTTATTCCGCCATTTTTTAAATTTAAACAATCATTGCGGTCGGATTTTGCTCTCGTTCGTTACCTTACTCCCTCCCTTCTCCTCCCCTTCTCTCCCTTCCCCCCTACGTCCGGTTTTTTTTTGTTTTCATCGCTCTATTAACCTCTCTAATTTTTTTTTTTTTTTTGAAATTAGCAAAATTTCAAACGTGGCGTAAAAGGTAAATTAACCGCCATTAATAAACGATCGCGCGGGTTTTCCACACTATTGCCAACCGATTTTAATTTTACGTCAGCACTGCCAATTATTTTCGTAATTATTTCGCAAAGGATTTTCTATTTTAAAAAAAAAATTATGTACATAATTGATGTAAGTAAATAAAATCGTGTAATCATTAAAGTATTATTAATTTTTCCCAATGACAAATTATTGATAATTGAAACTCCATCACTTTGGCAGTTTTTTCCTTTTTCTTTTTGCCCCCTCGCCCCCCTCCCGTACGTGAGCGTGTGCGTGCGTATTGTTTTTTATTAATGTGGTTTTTTTTAGTTAAGATTAAATAATAATAGGAGAAGACGGAAAAAAAATTTGTATTCATAAAAGTATAAGGAACATATGTCACATATTCATGACTTTCAACGGGGGAGAGGGGAGAGGGGAGGGGGAGTTTATGCTTTATATATATTATAAACTCTGGTCACATACGCACAAAATTAAATTTTCTACACTCATCATATAAAATTCACTACAACAAAATTTTCATCTTCAACTTTTTTTTTTTAAAAAAAAAAAAGAAAAAAAAAAAGTATTTAATTTTTTTTTTGCGCGTCAGATGAAAATTTGAAACCACAAACGAACGGATTCTTTTCTAACCATCGCCTCCCCACCCCATCCCCACCTCCTCCCCATCTATTCCTTTCTACATTCCATCAAAGATTTTTTTCTTTCTCATCTTCAACGTGTGTATATAAACATACACTTTCATCCTATTTTATTTTACTTATAATTACTCTTTCTTTCTTTCTCTCTCTCTCTCTCTCTCAATTCCATTCACATTTTCAATTTTCTTTCCAAACGTTTAAAAACATTTTTAAAATAAACATCGAACAGATTGAACGCGTGTGCGTGCGTGCGTGTGACGTAAGGGAATAATTTTAATATTTCATTATAAATAATAAATATTTTATTAATTCATACTTCTTCCGTATTTTAATAATAATAAATAATTAATTTGTTTCGAAAACCTTTAATATTACAACTTATTCACATTAAATATTAATAATATTTATTTATTTATTTATTCACTTTAAATAATTTTAATAAATAGAAAAGTTTTATACTTGTTTTATGCGTACGAATACACACATTCATTTCATTTTTTTTATTTTAAAAAGATCACGTGACTTTAGTTTCGCGCCATTTTTTTTTTTCGAAAAAATTTCCCGTTTGTTGTTTGAGCGAAACTCCAACTAAAAAAAGAAAATTATTTTATTAACTTTTTATATTCGCGCCGACATTTCGAAAAAAGAAAAAATATTTAAAAAAATTTATTTATTTATCGTCTTCTGCTTTTCTAGTGTAAATAATCAAAGAGAGAGAGGAAGAGAGAGAGAGAGATGAAAAAAATTTTATTTTATCTTATTTCGAAAAGTAAACCGTAAGCGTTACGTGAAAATAATTTTTTTCTAAATTAAAAACTAACGACGCAAAAAAAAAAAAATATTTTTTTTTTTATTTTTCGTGAGAGAAAAATAAAATAAGGCGGTGAAATTGTGACGTCATTTTGAAAAATTTTAACAAACAAACAAAAAAAAAAGGCTCGAAAATTTATTTATACGAAAATTAAAACGAAAAAAAAAAATAGGAAATACATTTTAGGATAAAAATGAAAAAAAAAAAAAAAAAATAACACGATAGAATAGTCGGAAACAAACAACAAACAGCAAAAAAAAAAATAACAAGAAGCGTTAAAAATTGTGGCTACAAAAAAAAATTTTTCGAAATGAGAGTGGGTGAGTGAGAGAGAGAGAGAGAGAGAGTGGAAAAAAAGAACACGTCATGCCTTATAAATTGGTTTTAAAAAGGAAAAAAAAAAGCAAAAAAAAGGAAAAAAAAAAGGAAAAAAAAGGAAAAAAAAAGTTTTCGCTATACCAAAATTAAGTTAGGTTTTTTCTATTTTCAAATAGAAAAACACTAAATTCAATTTTTTTTCTTCTTTTTCTCCTTATTCTTCTTCTTCTTTTTTTGTTTATCTGTTTGTTTGTTTGTTT